GCCATGTCCACCCAATGGGCTATGCCCAGCCAATGGGCCACACCCACCCAATGGGCCACGCCCACCCAGCACCCGACGATTCATAAGTGGGTTTTGGGTTGCAGTTTGGGCACTCGGTCTCTAAAAGGTTCACTATCATTGCTTTAGAAGTTCAGAGTTCAGCTTGTGCTACTTGCCTCCGCTTCTACCCAATTCAGCAATCTTTGCAAAAGACAGACATTCCTGGCTAAGGACAGACAGGTCTTTCCAGGTGATGTTCCTTGCTCTTAGGCCATCCCCTCTTCTTAACAAGCTCTCTTCCTGAATCTGTTGGAAGCAGGTTGAGCGAGTGGGTGAATGGCTGGAGACCTTGAGAACAACACACGGCCTGGTTCACATGACGCTCAAAAGGCATAACCAGTTTGGCTTAGTTTGATTTGTAAACTCGAGTTGATGACCCAGTGTTTGGTGTCAAATCAACCAACCGACCTTCGTCGATTGAACTAGATCAGGGGTCCCCAAAGTCTTCTGCTCGTTGATCCCTTCACAAAATTTTAGATTCTTCAACGATCCCAAATCTTTATTACAGGAAAATAATTTGATAAATACTACTTTAACCAATAGTACTATAAATAATATTAACTAGACAACCTGTGGCTTGGTAGATTATCCTTTCAGAGATAGAACTAAGATAGAACTAAGATAAAAACAAAGATAGAACCAAGGAGAAACTTCCTGACAGTGAGAACAATCAACCAGTGGAACAACCTGCCTCCAGAAGCGGTGAATGCTCCAACACTGGAAGTTTTCAAGAAGAGACTGGACAGCCATTTGGCTGGAATAGTATACGGTTGCCTGCTTGAGCAGGGGGTTGGACTAGAAGACCTCCAAGGTCCCTTCCAAGTGTGTTATTTCCTTGTCAAATTCCTCAATTCCTTCAATTGTTCTAATGTTCTGTCTTCACTAGAAATGGTTCTTAAAACTTCAGGGAAGATACACAAGAGAGGTGTCTGAAAGTGTTAAACTGAGTAGCACAGTCAAAAATCAGCAGTGGGCCACAGGAAATCTTGTATTATATCATAAAACGCCCGGTGATTATTTTGACGTCATGAAATGTTTTATAAAAATTGCCAAATTTCAATTCCAGGATCCCGGATTTTGGATGCCTTCTGTAAGTTAAACCAGCTTGAGGTACCTTGGTTCAAAAATTGTCCTGTGGTTCACCAATTAGCCCAGTCAAAGGTTACAAACAGAGAAACAGAGTCGTAGTAGTATACCAGACAACTCATCCCCTATTGGACCATTGTTTCAGAGATCCAGGTAGTCTTCAATTAACAACTATTCATTTAGTGCCCGTTCAAAGTTACAGCGGCAATGAAAAAAGTGACATATGATTGTTTTTCACATGGCCGTGGCAAAACTCCCACGGTCATGTGATCCATATTTGGACAGAATCAAGATCAGGTGAAGTGTCAATACCACTTTACAAGGCCTTGGTAAGGCCACACTTGGAATACGGCATTCAGTTTTGGTAAAAAAGATGTTGAGACTCTAGAAAGAGTACAGAGAAGAGCAACAAAGATGATCAGGGGACTGGAGGCTAAAGCATATAAGGAAAGGCTGCTGGAATTGGGTAGATCTAGTTTAATGACTGAAGGACGAGGGGGGACATGATAGCAATGATCCAGTATCTCAGGGGCTGCCCCAAAGAAGAGGGAGTCAAGCTATTCTCCAAAACGCCTGAGGGCAGGACAAGAAGCAATGGATGGAAACTAATCAAGGAGAGAAGCAACCTAGAACTAAGGAGAAACTTCTTGACAGTGAGAACAATTAACCAGTGGAACTCCTTGCCTCCAGAAGCGGTGAATGCTCTCTTAAAGAAGAGACTCGACAACTATTTGTCCAAAATGGTGTAGGGTTCTTGCCTGAGCAGGGGGTTGGACTCGATGACCTCCAAGGTCCCTTCCAACTTTATTATTATTATTATTATTATTATTATTATTATTATTATTATTATTATTATTATTATTGATCATCGCACAGTCAGCCAGATGTTCAGACTGGATTTGGCATTTTGTCTACCGATCGAGTCCTTACCCAGGACCTGGGATAGGCAGATGTGGATGTTTGATGGTATTACAGATATCGTCGCAGGATGGAAGCAGTTCCTAATAAGGCCGCCTTTTGCAATTGACTAATAGAGAATTTGTCAATGCCAATTGTGTTCAAGTGGTGCTCCAGTTGTTTTGGGATTGCACCCAAGGAGCCTATGACTATTGGTACTACCCTTGCTTGCTTTTGCCACAGACTTTCTATTTCTATTTGTAGGTCTTTGTATTTTGTTATCTTCTCCAGTTCTTTCTCGTCTATTCTGCTGTCTCCAGGCACTGCCACGTCCACTATCCAGACTTTTTTGTCTTTCTTATCGACAATTGTTAAGTCTGCAGTGTTATGTTGCAGGTGCAACATCATCATCATCATCATCATCATTATTATTATTATTATTATTATGGATCATCGCACAGTCAGCCAGATGTTCAGACTGGATTTGGCATTTTGTCTACCTATCGAGTCCTTACCCAGGACCTGGGATAGGCAGATGTGGATGTTTGATGGTATTACAGATTATTATTATTATTATTATTAATAATAATAATAATAATAATACTATTATAACTGGAAGGAGATCGGGGTGCTAATGTGGCCGGGGGCAAAAGGACGTTTCTGAGCTTCAAAGATGAGTATTATCAATGGTATGTAAAATGTCAAAACCAGGAACCAAAGAAAATGTGATGTTGTCAGAACAGAAATGTCATGATTAAACATTGGCCTTCTGGGAATCGGCCATCTGCTCCGGACTGGAAAGGCTCATTTCACGTCAGAAACACATCAGATCTTCCTTCCAGGCAAGACCATCCACCCATCCTCAACCTCAACCAGGGAGCCACTGTGACGAACACAGGTAGACCTCAACTTACGACTACAATTAAACCCAGAATATATGTTGCTAAGCGAGACAGCTGGTAGGTTTTGCCCCATTTTATGACCTTTCTTGCCACAGTTAGTGAATCGCTACAGTTGATAAGTTAGTAATACGGTCATTAAGTGGATTTGGCTTCCCCTATTGACTTGGCTTGTCAGAAAGTCACAAAAGAGGATGACATGATACCGGGTTGATGCAACCGTTATACATATGAGCCAGTTGCCAAGCCAACATGTTTGAAGATGGCGGAACTTCCACTCCCAGAATTTCCCAGCCAGCCTGCTTTAAGAGGGATGGACTTCCACTCCCAGAATTCCCCAGACAGCATGCTTTAAGAGGGGAGGACTTCAACTCCCAGAATTCCCCAGCCAATATGCTTGAACATGAGTGGACTTCCACTCCCAGAATTCCCCAGCCACATGTTCCATAATTATACTCATGTGACCAGAAGGTGATGCAACAGTCATAAGAGTGAAAAACGTAAAGCTTGCTGGTTGAGGAATTCTGGGAGTTGAAGCCCAGATAGAGCAACACTATCTGAAGCAAATAAGCGGAAGATCTTGCTGCTACAAAATAACAGCACATTTAACTAGATAATGCAAACATGGGTCACTTTCCTTCATTGGGGCTTGGAAACTAGTCCTCCTATTCCCAGTGTCAACCATCCCTCCCCCCCCCCGTCTTTTTTTTATCAAACGCCCACAACAGGTTCCCTAAAGGTCACAATGGCTCCCCCAAACCAAAGCCAGGCTTTGTCCTTTGTCACCAAAGCCTGCCCTCTAGAGTAGAATAGAATAGAATAGAATAGAATAAGGAAGAAAAATAGAATAGAATAGAATAGAATAGAATAGAATAGAATAGAATAGAATAGAATAGAATAGAATAGAATAAGGAAGAAAAATAGAATAGAATAGAATAGAATAAGGAAGAAAAATAGAATAGAATAGAATAGAATAGAATAAGGAAGAAGAATAGAATAGAATAGAATAGAATAGAATAAGGAAGAAAAATAGAATAGAATAGAATAGAATAGAATAGGTCTTTATTGAGAATAGAATAGAATAAAATAGAATAGAATAGAATAGAATAGAATAGAATAGAATAGTAGAATAGAATTAGAATAGAATAGAATAGAATAGTGAAAGAACGGAATAGAATAGAATAGAATAGAACAGAATAGAATCTGGAAGGAACCTTGGAGGTCTTCTAGTCCAACCCCCCCCCAAGCAGGAGAAACTCTACTATTTCGGAAAGGTCCATTCTGACGACACATCGACAACCCCCCCCCCAAGCCTCATATCGCGTGCAAAGCGCGGTCGTGGGAACGCAGCGCACGTTGCCTGTCTTTTTGTTTTGTTTTTTTTGAGTGGGGGGGGTTGTAAAGATCCTTGGAGCGGGTGGCGCAGGCATCCCCACAGAGCGCCAGCCTCTTTGGCCAAGGCGACCAGAGCAGCGGCCCTTCAGGGGGAAGCCGCCCCTGAGGGGGGAATTGCGGGGCTGCTTTAAGGCGCCCCGCGCTCCGTTTGTTATCCTCCCGCCCGGCTCCCATGCTGGCGAGGCCTCCGCGCTTCCCATTGGCTGCCCGGCCGCCCAGCTGTTGTCTGCGCTCCCAGCTGCCCACTGGGGGGGGAGGGCCCTGCCTCCCGCCCCCTCTCCCCCTCTCCCATTGGCCCCTGGCTCAAGAGGCAGCCGCCGCCCGGTGCCAACCCGCTGGGTGTTGCTAGGGGCCCGGGCGCGCCGATTGGCCTGCTCACCTGGCCATCACGGCCGAACGTGGGGTGGGGGGAGAAGGCGGGCCCTCCCCGCCTCCTATAAAAGGGCAGGGAGTCCCGGGGAGGGGCCAGAGAAAGCAGGGGTGCTTTGGTGGTGGAGGAGGAGGAGGGGTGGGGGAAAGCGGAGGCAGCTGCGGAGCTGGAGGAGGTTGGAGCTCTCCCGGGCACGGTCCGCCGTCGACCTTCTGCGGGCGGCTGGAGACAGTCCCGGGCTGGGCAGGTGAGTCCGGCGCGGGGATGGGAAGGAGGGAGAGAATCGGAGTTGGGGGCTCGGAAGGGCGGGGAGCGAGCGTGGGCAGCGCTTGGAAGCGCCCGCGGAGGGGCGTTCGGGGCGCTCGCCCACCCGGCTGGCTGGCAGCCAGCGTGGGCGAGACGGGGGGACCGTCCTCCGGCGCTTGGCCCCGGGAACTCCCCTGCAGCGGCCGGGGCTGGAGCGATGCCCGGCGGAGCGCCCTGCTGGAGAAGCAGGCAGGCAGGCAGGCAAGCAGGCGACGTGACGGCCCTGTCCGAGCGCGCTGTTCCCCGGCTGGGCGGGCGGGCTGGCCGGCGCGGCGTCCTGGCTGGCTGGCTGACTGGCTGACTTCCCTTGCCGAGCTTGCCCGCCGCCCGAGGGAGCGCGGCGGCGGCTGCAGCAGCGTCTTTCGGCTCGGCTTCCTGCTTTCCGATCGGCCGTCACCTCCTTCCCTCCCTCCCTCCCTCCTCTACTCCGGAGCGGAGGCAATCGGCTTACTCCGGACTCGCCCCGTTTGCCTCGCCATCCCCTCTGCGTTTGGATCGGAGCCCCCTCCGAGTTTCCAGCCTCTCTTTCCCAGTCTCTGCTCTTGAGAAGTTTGGAGGTGTCTTGACTGCGCCTGGCTTTGGAGGTTCTCTATTATTATTATTATTATTATTATTATTATTATTATTATTATTATTATTATTACTATTACTATTACTATTACTATTACTATTATTATTCCTCCTCCCTCCTCTCCCTTGCTTGGGCTCTGATTTAGTTTCTTGGGGCTTTTAAAGGGCTGGAGGGGGGGGAACTGGCTGGCTGGTTGATTGCAAGTCTGATCAAAGGATGCTTTCCTTGCTTACTGCAAAGTGAGTGAGGGGAAGCTGATTTTGCCAATTAGAGTAACAGAGTAGGAAGGGACCTTGGTGGTCTTCTAGTCCACCCCCCTGCTCAAGAAGGAGACCCTGTATCATTTCAATCAATCCGAGCTGGATGGGACCTTGGAGGTCTTCTAGTCCAGCCCCCTGCTCAAGCAGGAGACCCTATATCATTTCAATCATAATAGAGCTGGATGGGACCTTGGAGGTCTTCTAGTCCACCCCCCCCTCAAGCAGGAGATCCTGTATCATTTCAATCAGCTGGATGGGACCTTGGAGGTCTTCTAGTCTAGCCCCCCCCTGCTCAAACAGGAGACCCTATATCATTTCAATCAATCAGAGCCGGATGGGACCTTGGAGGTCTTCTAGTCTAGCCCCCCCCCCCCCGCTCAAGCAGGGGATCCTATATCATTTCAATCAGAATAGAGCTGGATGGGACTTGGAGGTCTTCTAGTCCAGCCCTCTGCTTAAGCAGGAGATCCTCTACCATTTTAGACAAGTGTCTGTCTAATGACAAGTCTCTTTTTAAAAACCTTTAGGGTTGGAGGCCCACAATCGCCGCTAGATCTGGTGGGCAGCTTGTCTCTCTCAGCCCTTGTAAATTAGTCATTTTGTTATTTTATTTATTAAATTGTCATCCTTCTCAGCATTATGGAAGGAAGCACATGAGTCTAAATGCACATCCTTTTCAGTCTTTATTCAATTAATCTTAATTCAATTAATAAAAAGTTGGTCTTAGGTATTGATCTCTGTGAAGTTTGCCTTGGGTTTTTAAAAGCTTGTTTTCAATTCCCCTCCCCCCCCCTTTGCTGAAGGCAAATCAAGCAGCTTTTCAATATACTGGGGTTTGTTGAAGATGGGAAGGGAGAAAGTTTAATTTTTTTTTTAGATTCAAGCCTTGAGAAAAGTTGCATTGGAATTGAAGTAACTTTAACAGTTCATTGTCTCCTAACTCTGCTCACTTGTGTGTGCTTTGTAGGAGAAGAATTGGATTGATCTAAAACAGGGCTTTTCAACCTTTTCACCCATTGTACCACTTTTAGGATATAGCAATATCCGAGTACCACAAGTCGCATAGCAAGGTGTCAAAAACTTGATGACCCCCCCCAAAAAAGGAAAAAAGTGATGAAGTACAAGTAGTCCTTGACTTACAACAGTTCCCTTAGTGACTGTTCGAAGTTACAATGGCACTGAAAAAGGTGCCCCCCAAGCCACAGCCGAGCCAGACACCTGCCTGCCCGCCCGGCCATGCTCTTCCTCCTGTCCGAGGTTTTCATTGTTGTGAGCATTTCTGTTAAGGATTGGCAGTGGGGGTGGGGTGGGGGGTGTTTGGTTTTTATTCCCCCCATCTGCTGGGTGGTTGCAGCAGGTTTTGGTCACTTCACATGACCCTGGGACACTGTGACCATCATAAATATGAATCGGTTGCCAACCATCTGAATGTAAATCACAAGACCCTGGAGATGCTGCAACATTCCAGCTGATCGGCGCTTCTTCAGGGCTCAGCAGAAGTGCCAGGATTAGCGCCGAGCTCCAGCTGGAGCCTGGCACTGATCCTGGTGCTTCCACTGAGCCCTGACAGTCCCGAAGAAGCACCAATCAGCTGGAAAGCAGCACTGACCCTGGCGCTTCCGCTGAGCCCTGACAGCCCTGCAGCTCCAGCCGTCTCTCGCTCAGGCTTGTGTGGTGCTGCCACTGGTTCAGCTCATTCCCCTCCCCCGCTACTACTTTTCTAGGATGGTCGCTTACCACCTGCCAGGTGCCAATGGACCACAGGTGGTACCTGTACCACTGGCTGAAAAGCCCCGATCTAAAACACCTTATTCAAATTTGTTAGCTGCAAAAGGTGTTTTAGATCAACCCAATTCTAGGCAGAAGCTGCAGCTTGCTAAGTGAATAACAAAAACTAACAAATACAGTTTCTTGGAAAAGATGCTACCAGATTTGTTTGTAGTTTTTGTGTGTGTGTGTGGGGGGGAAATATGCTGAGTTCAGCAAAGGACTGCCCTTTGCAATCTAGTAGTAAAACACTCTTTCTATGCTTAGAGGTTCTTATTGGGTTCCAGAGAAGCCCCCCAACTTTTAAAAAAAGTTCTGAATGATGTGGGAGAAAATCTTGAAAATTGTATGCACCCCCCCAAAAAATCTTATTTCACCTGTCAAATATCCATAAGGTGATCAACCAAAGCAGGCAAGATTATGTGGCAGGAAAAAAATGTCTTTTTTTTACCGCAATTGATGCTCTTCAAATGTTTAATATGCAAGTTGTACAGTGAACTATCTTTTTAAACCTTTTTTTTTTTTTTTTTGCAAGGCTGCAATGCAAGTCACTGAAAGAATTCCATCCAAAGTCCCATCAGCTTGCATTTATTTATATGGATGAGATTCTTAGCTTTGCACAAAGTTCTTCTCTGGGTTAAGACCTTTTTTAAATTTTTTTTAAGAAGCAAAGGACACCCGTACTGCTAAGGACCTTTGCATCTCCAAGATTGCATTTTAGCAAATCTTGGAAGTTTGCAACCTGCTGTGCAGCATGGTTTCTGTAGTCTGCCCTGGCCCCTTGCAACTGTGATTCCCTGGCTGGCTGCTTGCAGCAACTCCGGCATTGAAAAAACTTATCAATTCCTGACTGTATGTTTTTTCTCTCTCTCTCCCCCCCCCCCCCCCTTTGCTCTTCAGCAAAGCATGTGACTGTTTCTATTTATTTATCAGCGCTGCTGGTTGTGTTGCTGGCAATGAGCTGCTTTTGTATGTTGATAAGCTTTATTTTATGGTCTGGTGCTGTAGAGGGAGGGATGGAGGAGAAGCATGACTGTCTTTGTGCGTGCCAAGTGGGGAGCCTGCAACTGGATAATTTCTAATTTGTTTTGGCTTTTTTTTTTTAATGCAGTTTGACTTCTGCGTAGGCAGCAGCCCTTAAACTGAAAGGCTGTTGAAGATGCATTTTAACTAGACGGTCCAGCAAAAACCACATTTGGTGCTTTCTCACAACTGGGGTTCAAGCATTCTCTTTACGTGATCGATTAAATGTAGGGCAAAATTGGGAGAAAAACACCAGAAAGATGCTTTTTCCAAATGCAGCTCTAAAGAACATCTCTAGTCTTTTTTTATTTTTTGCATTCTTTTTTTCCCCCTTCCATGCAACCTGGTAAGATGAGAGACAGGCTGGAGATAGTCACAAACCAGCTTCTTTTCCCTGGTGCCTTTTAAAAATGTATAGCTCTTACATGATTTTATCCTCAACAACAGTTAATAGTAAAGTTGGAAGGGACCGTGGAGATCATCTTGTCCAACCCCCTGCTCAGGCAGGAAACCCTATACCAGTGATGGCGAACCTTTTAGAGACCGAGTGCCCAAACTGCAACCCAAAACCCACTTATGCATCGTTGAGTGCCGGGTGGGCGTGGCCCATTGGGTGGGCATGGCTGCGGTGGTAACGGCAGAACTGGGTGGGATTAAAAAGTTCAATCAATCAATTGCAACTTTGCAAGATCTTTTTTTTTCCCCACAAAAAGTTGAAATTGACTGATTGATTGAACCTTTTTTTTTTTTTTTGCACACCGCAGCGGAGGCCTAAAGCGAAAAGGTTTTATAAAACCCAGCTGAAGGCCTAGGACTGGGGCGACGGCGCGCGTGCCCACAGAGAGGGCTCTGAGTGCCGCCTCTGGCACCCATCCCATAGGTTCGCCATCACTGCCCTAAACCATTTCAGACAAATGGCTGTCCAGTCTCTTCTTAAAAACTTCCCGTGTTGAAGCATTCACAACTTCTGGAGGCAGGTTGTTCCACTGGTTCATTGTTCTCACTGTCTGGAAATTCCTCCTTAGTTCTTAGTTGTTTAGGGACCGTTTGAAATTATAACAGCACTGAAAAAGTGACTTATGACCATTTTTCACACTTAAAGACCGTTGCAGCATTCCCCACGGTCACATGATTGAAATTCATACGCTTGGCAACTGGCATGTACTTATGACAGTTGCAGTGTCGGGGGGGGGGTGTAATGTGATCCCCTTTTGCGACCTTCTGACAAGCAAAAGTCAATGGAGAAGCCAGATTCACTTAATAACCCATGTTACTAAAGAACTGCAGTGATTCACTTAAAAACCCGGGCTAAAAAGGTCATAAAATGGGGGCAAAACTCATTTAACAACTGTCTAACTTAGTAACAGAAACTTTGGGCTCAGTTGTGGTTAAATAGGATACCGTGTATCCTGTTTAAAAACCGGCTATTTTCCTCATAGATGTAAGTCTGAGCAGTATTCCAGAAGCTATGAGCTATAACAGTGGTTCTCAACCTTTTTAATGCCGCGACCCCCAACCGGTCGTAAGTCGAGGACTACTCAACTGGTGCAGCACCGTTTGCAGAATGGGACTTTTGGCGGGCTCAGCAGGATAGAGACAGCCTGGACAATTCCTATTGGCTTTTGAAAGCCAATAGAATTAGACTCTATTCAAGAGAGTCTATTCTATTGGCTTTCAAAAGCCAATAGAATAAAAGGGAGTAGCACAGCTAAGGAAAAGGGGGAAAAAATGGCGGACTGCGTTGTTTGGCAACTCCCGTGAAATGGTCGTTCGACCCCAAATGGGGTCCCGACCCACAGGTTGAGAACCACTGAGCTATAAGATGGCGCAGCCAACTAACTCAATATAATATATAGCAGGGCTGTCAAGCTCAATTTCACTGAGGGCCACATCAGCATTGCAATTGCCCTGGGGAGGGCAGGTGGGTGTGGCCAGAGTGGGTGCAGCCTAACGGGTGGGTGTG